ATCTGAAATGAGTTTTCAAGAAATTTGATCATCCAACAAGATTTTCAGTGGCTGAAATTCATTGGGGAAAAAACTGTCTCTTTTAGAAACTCATGATTTTCTTAGTAACAGAAGGAGGTTTTTAGCACTCACAGAAACCACTGAAGCCTGGAGCCCCATACAGCACAAACTCGAGCCATGGTTTCCCTTAACTAACCCTGCAGCACTTGTTCTTTGCACTGAGTCTGCAGACGGCAGCAGCAAATGCAGCCCACACCTCCCTGGGAGTGCTGCAGAGCAGGAGCAGGGCGTTCTAACTGCAATAAATGTGTATCATGACACTATCAGGTGGTCAGCTTTTCTCTATTGCCACAGAGCTAGGCCACCTAATACAAGCTCTACTTTACGAAACTTAAACAGAGCCTCTTCTGTGTCAAGTTTCAAGGGAGAAAAAGGTGCAAACTTTCAACAGATTTCACATTGCTAAGTCCCCATATACTGAATCTTGAACAAATCGTAAACCGAAGCGAAGATTTAGCACTGAAAACTTCAGCCATGATAAATATTCTCACCAAAATTGTGAAATCTTTCAAAGAGACACTCCTGTGTTTGGAAAGATGGTCACATAATTGTCTAACTTTACAATAAATGCTTCATCTGCATTTCAAAAGTTAAAATTAATTTTAAAAAGCTGGTCATCCCTTTACTGAAATATGCCAGTCTAGAAGCAACTATAGTATCAGCACCTCTTGAGAACTGCCTCTAGTTGTTTCATTTTTTAATGTTTACATTATTATGTCACACATCAAAGAACCCCTGGATAAAATAGTCATTGAAAAGATGGTTTACTTCTCCAGCAAGGGGAAATCACATGAAGGACAGGAAGACAAGCCTAATCTACAATCTCAATTATATTCTTGTAGTACCTATTTAGAACAATAGGTGATGATTGGAATGGAATTCAGTACTCCAGAAGCATACATCTCTTTTAGGATGTAAACTTATATCTTCTTTTAGGAAGATATAAATCACATTTTAAGCACCACTGAATAGACTGAGCAGTCACATACTGAATAGAAAGGGTCTCTATGATATTTGCTGCACCTAGTTGAGCAATCTGTACACTGAGACAGTAGGATCATGCTTATCATGCAACCCAAGTTAAGTCAAGCACTAGGAGAGCACATGAAATACTAACAGTGTCTCTCTAGCCATATAAAAGTACTAGAAATACCATTTGGTCAACATTTATATAGATATTCAAATGCAAGATGCATGATGCTAAAGCATGTGGAACTATTTTTCACCACGGGGAAAAACTGAAAATAAATCATGTGCACACATTTTTAAAGTTCTAAGTGTCTCTGCTTTGCTTATTCATGTACAAGGCACACAAAACACTCACACAAAAGATGCTGACAAAGCACTCAAACTTTCACCTTAACAAAACATATCAAATAGAAGGGAAGATCTGTCTCCACATGGACTAATGAAACAAAAATTACTTGAGTTCAAAGGTCATATTAGCTAGAGCATTTTCTACCAAACCTCCCTGAGCCACAACCATGTTTCCACAATAAGACCAGGAAATAACCAAGTGTTTGCATCTACACATTGTAAACAGCTACATTAACAAGATGACACAGATATTTTGTTGGAAAAAACGTTCATAAGGCCTTACTACTCAATTCTTAACAGTATTCACTTGGCCCAGAAAAACCTGAAATTTTTATAGCAGTCACCACAAACTTTGCTTCTAAATTGCTGGCAGTAATACATAAAAAGGAGGCGGTTTTGATTATCAGCAATTTGAATGGAAATGTGAAACTAGAAACATTCTACCTTCTAAATTCCTTATGTCAATATTATGTCCACTACCTTTGATTTAATTTATTTTGCAGAGTTACTGTACTGAGCTTTTTTGGCTCATTTGTAAAAACTGATGTGAATGACTGGACAGCAGTTTAAAGAAATTACTCCACACCAGGCAAGGAGCTCTTGCTCAATTTAATTTTTAAATGGAAAAATAAGATCAAAGCAAGACTAAATTCCCTTGGAAACATGAGGAAAGCTCCAGGGATATTACTAACATTCCTAGGCCAAAGGAGCTGTTTCTGTGGTGGATATAGTAACAGCAACTTGGCCGATTATCCCTGCAACAGTTTTAGTATACAAATCCAATTTAATGAAGATTGTTCACTCATATTTACTAAGACAAATGTTTTCAGTCTATTAGTTTTGATTAAACAAATCTGTTTTCAAGAACTGCCTAGAAACCAACTGAATGCTTCCATCAAAAGGACAGCATAATCTCTTTTCTTGTTTTCAGTATGTGAAGATTTCCTTGCACTAAAATGTTTCTGCTAAGTTGTAGCATGCCTGGTTTTTCACAGTCAGTGAGACAAACACTTCCACTCACTCCAGGGAAAACCAATACAAAATTAGCTGAAGAAATGCAAAATTATTATATGAACATAGAAGGAAAGATGTATGTGTATCAGTGTGTGATACATATATGTACATATACATAAACATATATATATAGATATGTATGTACATATAAAAAAGTAACTTTAATTATTAGGAAACAATTTTAAATAACAGGTTTAAATAACAGGAAACAGCTCTACAATTCAGCATTCAAATATATAATTTGAAAATATAAATTCAAAAATTCAGCAGAGGATGTAAAATTTGGGAAATTTTAAGAAAGAATTGAAGACACCAGCTTATAATTTTGAGGAAAAGCATTACTACTGTTTTTTTTGTGACGAACACAAAGGGTACTTCAACTTGACAGCTCTTCCTTTGTTTTAATGCAAGGTCTGCCTGTAGCAGGGAAACAAAACCTAGTTTGTGGGCTCAAAATTACCAGTTGATCAAAGCTCACAATGTAACACTGAGAATACAAAGCTTCTTCTGTCCCTGAATAAATTTGCATAATTTACAGAATTTAGATTGGCTCAATTACACAACCAGACACGTAGTCTTCTGATGCATTTCATCACCCAGCTTCATACTGACAGTGATAGAATAAAAACACGTGTCCAAACTTAACTGTGTACTAACATTTCCTTCAGACTGAATTTTAACCCCTTCCCTCTCCTTCTGGAACTTCATTTCCATTAGCAGAGGAAATGTCCTTCTCATAATAAGTCAGTATCAGTAGTGTGCTGTAAAAATTACTTCAGTTTAATTTAAACTTAGCATCATTTTCCCTGGGGCATGGGATCAATTATGAATAGTTCACTTACCAGTACCTTATTAAGGGTACCTTATTAAGGGCACGTGATATAATATATACTGCACTGTAGTAAAAAGTGATGCCAACAGTCAGGTGAAAATACAGGTTAGATTTTAAAGTAGAAGACAAAGTTATAGGAAACATGTTCACGCATTCTGTTAAGGCCACTAGGCAATTGGGAAAAAAATTATCTTATTTCTCCAGGACTGGGGGAAGAAATATTTTTCTTTAGCTTGAGCTATTAGTACCTACTTTTTACAGCAGAAATCTGTCAAAGCAAGAAAAAAAAGCAGCACAGTTCTAACAAAGTAAGTCACAAAACAGCAACACTTTGTTCAACTTTTTAAGTTCAACTTTAAAATACATGGGAAATTTTTAGTTTGGCATGTTAAAAGAACCACTGAAAAACCTAGTATTTTACTGACATGTATCATACATTGTGCACAACATCATTAGCTTGACTTTGCAAGCCCCATTTTGTGCAATCACATGCTTTTTGTATTTTACATTTACCCATTATAGTAATGCATGCAATAAAGTACAAAGTCAGTATATTTTTAGTATCTTGGTTTATTTTTGTTATGGTTTTGCTAGACATGGTATCGATGCATAGTTGGAAACATCAGTGAATTTGAAATGCACACGGAATACTGGTAAGGAGTTGTTGGGCAATTCATCTGTAGCAGGCAGGTGTTGGGTGAAGAGGTGTAGCAGGATGCTCTGCCTGGACGGCAGTAAAACAGCTGGAATAACGCCCTGTTTGCAAAGCTATCAGAGGAGGAAGGGGTTGTCCTGGTGCTTTTGGTGCTGCATAATGCTGAAACCTGTCTGACTCATCAATCCCAGAGTTAAACACTCCTGACAGAAAGGTGAAGCTGTGGCAGACCTGGTAAGGTACCAGATAAAGCAACAAACAAGTGGTACTGCTAACTTATCTAAAGATGCCGAGGTGACACGGCTGGTCTGGAAACATAGGGCCTATTCCCACTTTTTAATGAGTGGGGAGGTCCTGCAACAATCCCCTTTCTGAAGATTCCTTCCTTGAGTTGAGATTTGCCTCAAGGTTACGCCTCAAAGCTGAGAGGAAGCGATTTCCCCACAGTCATCGGTATCGGTGAGTAAAATCAATCTCTAGTTCATAATTTCTTTTGTACCTTTGCTTCAATATTGCTTCAAAAATAGTGGACTGAACTAGACTAGTAGTTATAGCTACTTATACTGTGCAGTAAATAATTCTGATTAAGATCTTTTAGTCTTATCATTATCATAGTAAGTTATAACCCTAATAATAACCCTAATTTATCCTTAATCCTGTGGGACAAAGCTGTGAAAAGATTCAATAATGCCTATTTAATGCATTAACATAAGCCATTGACAGGATCTAGGACTGAGGCTGGATCCAGCTCCCCCCAGAGACCTCTATGAGGAGTTTAGAAAGCAAGAGGGTCCTGTCTGTGCCTCATGACTCAACAGGGGGCCTTCTCTCTAATCTCTGTAGCTCCCACTCTGCCCACAACACACAGACACACAGGCTGAAACAAACACCTAACTTCCCCTTTGTACCTACCCTGGCTACCCACAAATTACAGCAGCACATGCCACGTGTCAGGTTACCTTGAACAGCTGCTGATGGCCTCAGTGAAAGCTGCCTAAATGTCAGGCTGAGGTGAGGGACTGCCATGTCTGTCTGGAGGGAGAAAAGTCATGGTACTTTGTACTTGTACTTGTACATGGTACCAAAGTACTTTGTACTTGCTGCTTTCCTTAATATGTGTCTGAGTTCATGAAGGGTTCACCTATTGTTGTGGTAGAACTGGCGTAAGAACACGGCCGGAAAAAATGGTGTTTTGAAATACAGCTCAAAGTTACTGTGAATGCTCACACAGAAATACCTAGACACAAAGAGAATTCAAATTCGTAGTTTTAAAGAGAATTAAAATACATAGTTTTAAACTACTGAATATGTACCCATTAAATGGTGCTTAAACATAGCTAGAACAGTACAGTACTGATTTTAAGGACTGTGGGTAGACCTAATTACCAGAAACACTACAGCTACAGTCTGAAAGTGAGAAAGTGTAATTCTACACCTTGTTCCTATTATACATTTCCCTTTGAAAAAAACCTGGATAAAGCACAAAATTATACAAACTTTATATCATGAAACAAGAATAGAGAAAATTTTCTACACAGGTTTCAGTCTTCCCCCCTTGCACAAAATTTATTCATTATTGGCATTTCATAGCCTGTACTTTAAAATACAAGATAAAAGTAAATGAATGAGCAATGCTCCTCTAGTAAACCATCTTGCCTTTGGATGAAAACCAGTTTTGATCTGAAGCTCTAAAGCAAGATATTTCTTATGCTGTTTCTGGAAAACTCTAAAGGACAGAAATTCACAGCATGAGGATAAACCTCTAAGGAGGTTTTTGCTCTTACAATCTTCTTTCCAACAAAGAAACCTTTTATTCATTTTATAATAAAGGCCAGACAGGCCCACTGTACTATCAGGCAAGTTTGCATTGGCATACATTTCTAACGTGAAGAACAGACAGGACAGTGACTATTCTTTTGATGCAAAGACACATTTTAAAGAGGTGCAACACTTTCCATGATTAGCACAGAATGCTTCAAAGAGCCTTAAGGATTCTGCAGCCACAGGAAGTTTCTGGTACTTATTACAACAAGCATCCCATTTAATAATTTTTTTTAAACTTTATTCTAATATACATTTAATAATGTAAATGTACACATCATGTTAAACCCTTACACCCCTTGGTAACCTAAGTTAAACACATGCTACCTTATACATGCAGTTCCATAAAAATGATCCCCTTTTGACAGCTATTCATCACAAGCTGGAGTAGTTAAGGCCCCATCTCTTTTATGGGCAGTGAATAAAAAATTTAAAAATTATTAATAGACATTCTCAGCTTGTATATTATAAACTGCACAAGTCTAGACAGTCTTGTCTAGTTAGACAAGACCAGACAACTTTTAATTTGGGACTCCTTCTGAGAGATGTCTATAAACAAAAACTGAATAGTCCATAGTGCAAATTACTACCTCATAAACTGCAGCATAATAACACTTTTCCTTATGGATCTTCTTTATGAGGAAATTTATATTTCTGTAGTATAATAATAATAATTATAATGCATTTTATTTTACACTTATGAGGATGATATTGCACTTAATGGAAAATGTTTTACTGAGTAGTAATATCTTTAAGCAAGCCTGTGTTATAAGCAAATTTTATTTTCTTGAGTCTCCCTGAATCTTCACACAATTCTTAAATATTAAATAAAATTCCTTGGTTTCAAATGAAACAGTATTCATATTTAGTGTATTTTTAAAAATTAAACAAATTGGACAACACACCATAATACTATAACCAATCTGTATACCCCTTTCTAATTTTGAGGCTAGTAATTATCTGCAAATTTAGTATTAAGCAATGACAGGGACATACAGAATTTAGTAAAACACTTTGTGATTACAGGTTCAAAGAGGTGTGGACAGACAGTGTGAAATAGAGGCGGTGTTTCTTTTAAAATGGTTGAATGCAAAAATCCAGCAGGACTCCTAACATATTAATAAATTAGAAAGGCTAACAGAGATTTTTTTAGAATTCCCAAACACTATTAAATCCTCAATAATACCTAGCATTTATATAGAACTTCAAATTTTTAAAGTGCCATACAAATACTATCTGGATGAAACGTATTCTCCAGAGGCAGAATACAAATCCAAAGTGAATGGTGATCAAATGAATGGCACCATAACAGTAAAATGCAATGTAATTACTACAGAGAGAAACTAAATACTTCATAATCAGCTTGCTATGCATGAACTATCATGGAAGACCACACACTGTACAAGGGAAATGTAGAGATATAAAATTATTATTATTCATTAAATAGGTTCTGTGACCACAAGGAATTGACACAAGAGCTGTAATTGGCTCCACAACTTTAAAATGCCTAATTCAGAAGGTGTAGGAAACACAAGGAAACCCTTCAGTGACAGACAGGCAGGTTACTTCAAGTGCTTGCACAAACCACCTTGAAACGCCATTATTCCTATACATCAATGCGGATTCCATGTTTTATGGACATTAATTCTCTAGTGCCCGTTAAATACATAATAAATGAACACAGATGAGGTAAAGATGCTGTAATTGCCACATACAGCCAATATGGCAAGGGAGGAGTTTTTCCAAATGGGCAGATCCAGAGGCCATGACGAATCCCATCACGGACATGATGAGAAGTCCAGGATATGAATAACATCCAGGGAAGAAAGCACCATGAGTCCTTAAGCCTGAAAAGCTGCATGATAAACTTTAATGTCAGAGCCACCACAGGAATCACAGTAGAACAATGAAGAAGTGGTCTCCGTGGAAGAGTCAGAGCAGCCTGCAGAAGAGAAAAATATTACTGCCAATGGCTACAACTGTAACAAGAGAAGAAAAGTTTCATGAGTGTTTACAAGTGCATTGTCAGGTGACTAAATGGAAGCAGAAAGAAAAACATACTTTCCACTGAAATAATTTAAAGCCAATTTTATGCATGAGAGTTGTGTTCTGCCCTGTCTCTATGTATGACATGAATCATGCATCCTACTAAGCACCATCGTCAGCAAAACAGGGAGGGAGAGGGATGAGGAATCCTGTTTGCCACACAGTCAGGTGGAACACGGGAACCTGTATTATCTGCTGCACTGATTATACGTCTTTAATTTCAAGACAATTAAAAGGAAAACAACCATGCAATACACTTTAAATATTTAGTATGTTTTACTTGAAATAAATCATGTGCTTTAATGGCATTTACTCCCAGAAAAACATCCTGTATTTTACCATAGTTGTCACCTGTAAAGTTGGTTTAGTTGCACAGTGTTTAAAACACCAAAATAATTTTCAATAGGACAAAAATATGAGCAAAGTTACATGTATTTGGATCACCTTGAGACAGTATTCTTCATGGACAGGCAAAACAAAGTTCATGAAAAAAGATCTGAAACATTTGTGAGTGGGATTTTTGTGTCAACAACTTGTTTAACAATAACTCAGCTGAAAGTCTGATATTTGGTTTTAATATTGATGAAGCCTGATATCTGGTGAATGTCTAGGTACTAAGATTAGATTTAGCCATTTTAAGAAGTGATAATGTCAATTTAACACACATGTTTGAGGAGATATTCTGGGGGTGTACTCAATAGCAACAGTTAAAACCACCCCAAATTCAAACACAATAAAAAAAGTAGTGGCATTTTGGATTCCTATTTCACAAATAAGTAGATTCTTGTGTCTGTAAGCACAGGAGAAACAACAGCACACTACCAGAAGGTCTACAGAAGTGCTGATGCGATACTCATTGGCTCAATTCAGTTGCTGGGGGACACTCAGAAAACCTGTAACAAGGCCCCAGAGATGTTAAGCAACAGTGTATCTTTGCTGCGTTGAGCACATCCCTCACTGCTCCTAGTGCATAAGGCAAACAAAGCATCTCTAACCTCTTCATTCTTCAGTTGTGTTAATCCTTGTGGGATTCAAAAGGAAGAGGGCCTGGCAGTGGGACTCTGGAATAGGTTCATCAAGCTCATGCATAATTTAGATAACTGCATGGAACACTACCTTCTCTGCAAGGAAGCTCTGATGTAGCCGCAGCCAGTTTATTAACGGATTAGAGATGGGAAGTTACAGGCTACCTTGAAATAAAACAACTCATGCTTTAAACCACAGCCAACCATAAAAGGCCTGCAGAAAGCTTTGCTCTATTAGCTTGCCACCACACACTTGTCCTTGACTCCTGATCAGGTAATGGGATTTAAAAGCTCACAAACTGTCTCAACAATTTTTAACTCTAATGTGGTGGATGCAATTCCTTTAAGTTGGGGCAAAAGGTGTATTTTCTTCAGCTTCAGTTCTGTTTCACACAAGCAGATTGTTCATCGATTAAGGCAGAAAAATCTTGTGATGGTGAAATTTTTTATCACCTGCCTTACAAAGAGTCCAATTTTTGTTACTGTCAACAAAAGGTTCAAAAGTACATACTAACTTAATTTTGAAAAAACTTGAATGTTTCTAGAGATAATCTATTGACTGGCCTCTATTTCTGCACTTTAGAAAAAAACTCAGTAGAACAGTCTAAATTAGTCTTTTCCCTCTGGCCTATTAAGGTTAAGTGCCAACAGCACACAGTGAGTAAGGAAAATTTTAATCATACTTACGTACACTTAGTTTATCAGTATTGGTGATAGATTCTTAAATTCTTTTAATATAAAATGAAATATCATTATTTCATTTTATATGAAAAGAATTTAAGCATCAGTAAGGTGATGCTTAAATTCTTTTCATATAAATTTCAGATGGCAGGGTTGTTCATATAGCAAACCTGAGTGTTCAATGACAGCAAGAGAAAGTCCTATTCTGTAACTGCAGTAAGCCATCAAGCTTCTGAGATGCTGTTGCCCAAGGCCTGAGAGAACAGTCTGTTTCCTCTTTTACATTCTGTGACTAAAGGAACACTTACATCCTTGAGTTGCCAAGCCCTGGACACAGACAGGTAGTTCTGTTAGCTGATTTAAGCTGCTACAATCTCTTTTTCCTAACAGGAAAACTTATTTGCCTTTAGAAAGCACCAGATCTTTAAAAAACCCCAAAACCCACAAAAACAAAAAAAACCCCCACCAACAACGAACAAAACAAAAAAAAACCCCACTGCAAAACACAAAAAACCTCTTTTCTGCCTTAGACCTCCTGGAAAAACTTGCAAACAGAATTTATTTACAGAAGACCTTTTCCATTTGCCTACATATGCAATCAGATGCAAGATCATCTTGCAGTTGCTGCTTCTCCAGCCTCTAACTACAACGAGCAGCTGGAGACAGGATACAATAATTGCATGCAGGAGAACCCACGCAAATTATCTGCTTTAATGCTCATGGAAACGCAATGGATGTTAGGTAATAACAGATGCTCCCTCACTGATATTCTGTGGCGCTTCACAACCCTGAAGTCTTTAGTTCATAGTAACATATTCAATGTAACATAAAGTAGCAATATTAACAACATAGTAACATACTCAATGCTACATCAATTGTGCTTGCACAAAGATTATTCTCGTCCCAGAAATGCTCCTGTACAGCCTGGGTCAGTCATGGGCAGCACATTTCCCAGCAGTTCTGTATGTTTGCCACCAACTGAATGTTCTACACTTCCAAAATTTGGTGACTGTTTTAGCACCAAGACAGCAATTTCCGCATGTCTGTTCTGCAACGTGTGTGTCTGGGCTACAATCCTGGTGGAGTCTGGGAGCAGCCCGTCACATCATACCAGCACTCCTGACTGACAACAGGCTGCAGGAACTACCACCTTTGGAGCAGTCAGTGGGACAGGTTCTTCTATACTTGTGTGCACAGTAAAAACCACATGGAGCACAAAGAACTACAAATTCCAAGTAGTAGAGTCATTATAGACTATCATACTCGTTGCAAAAATAATGTGGGCAAAAGGTCAGATCACATGGTACTTGGTACACAAGTATTTATCAGAGCAAACATACAAATACCACAGGTGACTATTTACCCTGAATACTGCAGAAAAATACTGATGACCATGAAAAACAGACCAATGGCCAAACAATCCAGATGCTGAGTGGCGTCAGCAGGAACAGAAGTAGGTGACTAGAGTAGTGTGAAGGTAGCAATTGGAGGCAGAAGGCAGTACCGCCTGGTGCCACACAGAAAGGTTACTCTAGAAAAAATAACTCGTCATCAGATTTAAAAGTGATGATGATGAGCTTTACAGGTGATTGTGTGCAGTAACGTGAAATATACTATTGGTACAAATTAGTAATCATGGTGTGGTTGGTTAATTATACGAATTAATTTTTTTAGTTATTTAGTAATGTGTCGCAAAAGCAGTAAACATGTTAGTATCTTAAAGCAGTTACTCTCAACCATGCAATTTAAAGACAAACAATGGGATTGTAACTACAAAATATGTAGTAAAAAAGTATCCCATGAAGTGATAAATTATATAGGTGACAGCCTGAAATTATGTCAAGAAACTGACAAGCACATCATATAAAGCCAAGGAAAGAAAAATTACATACTACAATCAGATCTAGCTGGCTAGACAGCACACAGAAGAAAAGTTTATGAGGATTATGTTACATCACAAACCAAAGAGACTCTGATGGCACTGTAAGAAGACAAAATCTGTAACAGATTATTATTCTTTTTTTAAAGGACAGAAGGATTGTACTTTTCTGCCATTGAAAGGAATTAAACTACAGTATTTGGCTCAAATGAAGTCTCACCCAAAATACTACTCATGGTTTTGGACAGGACCCTTTAGAGGTAATTTAGGTGAAAAAGCAATAGATAGGAGAGGAGAAAAATAGTATGAGGTTTAAAAAACACAAACTTGTTTCCTTAAGATTTTTTTTTTAAAGTTATTTAGTTGAGAAGAGAGTCTTTGCAAAGCATAGGGGCTTTGCAAGTTGAAATGAGAGTCGAGAGACCTACACTGGATTATTTTCTTTATTAGCCCAGTTAACATATGGAAAGCGAAGAAGTTGGTAGGCAAATCACTTTGAAAAAGACTTTGAGCATATTGTCTTTTCCTTACCTCAGCTAAATACATTTGGCTACTAAAATGGGCTATGATTCTACCTGAAATGTTTTGTGTTTCTGATTTGAAAAAAAATTTTGAGGGAGATCACAGAAGTCAGCTGTCTTTTGCAAAAAAAACCCTTAAAGAACAAGAGAACTAGATCTAACTGTCATCAACAATTAGAAAATTAACTGCTATCTGCTTGGGAACTGAAACAACACAGGAAGAAATTAGGTCACAAAATTACAAAAATTTGCTTGGTTTCACATAGTAGGGATAGGCTAGGCTGCAGAAACATTCCCCATCAAGGAAGGTGTAAGTATATTTAACCTTGCCTCCCTACCAAGTGGCAAGTCACCTCCCGATTCCATAACACAATTCAGCAGCCAGCTTCTCAAACTGATATCGGTGAAGTGTGACATCTAGTGGTCATAATTAAGAAAAATTCTGGCAATCATCTCAAATGCATGAAAAAGCAGCAATAAAATTTTAATACTTTCTAATAGCTAGCCATTCACTTACTTGCATTCACTGATTTTAAAATAAGAAAAAACAGATGAGACTAATAAGAGATTTAAATTCTATTCCATATTGCTATTCAGCAGTAACATGCGATCCATTAATCAACCAAGCTAACTTTCCTTTTCTTTACATAGTTTTGTAATTGCACAGCATTTCCACATGCAGGAAGTACAGAAGAGGGGAGAACCAGGGACTACGCAGGGAAGAATGATGCCAGGCACCAAGACATGCTGGAGCCTGACTGTGCATGTGGCAAGATGGTGGTCAGTGGTATCCTGGACTGCACTGGGAATGTGGCCAGCAGGTTCAGAGACGCAATTCTCCCCTTTCCCCTCAGCACTGGTAAAGCCAAGAGGGGAAAACTGACCAAACGCACAAATAAGAGGCATCTTTTCTCTACAATAAATAGTGATACTGTATGCAAACAAAAATTATTTTTCCATTTTAAGTCTGATTTTTACATCTCAACTAAAAGCAGTATTTGCCTCTTGCACTTAGCTGTCACTTAAATATTTTTTAAAAATTGGTAAACCATTGTTGTTCTTTACTTATATGAATATTAAAAACAGGGGTTTCTTCCTCCCTCCCTCCCTCCCTGCCTGCCTTTTACCTATTTCCCTATGAACAGTTAGCTATTCCCCCTGAACTTAATAGTACTATGAGCAAACTAGAGGAGAAAAACTTCTGGAAAAGAGTTCCATAATCTGGTAGTACTAATGCCATTGAGAAACTCTATTCTAACAAGCAGTTCGGCAAGTAGATGATGATCCATTCACTGCTTAACAGGAGCCAATTCACCTTTCTACATTTATTAATAAGCTGATGCTTGCTTATCTACTAATTTTTAGTTTGGTTTTTTTTCCTCCAATGAACTATATTTAAATGCAACTCAAATTGCCTTTTTAAAAGTGACAGCTCACATATAGCTTGTTTGTGGGATAAATATTTAGGGCTGGCTAAAACAAATGTACTACTGAATTATAATGACTGAATTAAATTAAAGAGAAGCTCTGTCATTTACGTTTCAGGTATTTCTAACCGTTACTGTAAAGAGAAGTGGAATAATCCACTTCATCCACAAAAGTATGCCAGGCAGCACTTAACTCCATAAGATGGATAACAAAGCAACTATGTGATGCATGTAGAATAGCATCTACATGTGCAAAACTCTTTTTTTCCTTTCTAAGCAGCAGAAACTGAACACTAGATAAAATATTTTTATGGCTTTTAAAATTGTAACAACTGCATAGAAACATAATTCCTGTATATCTATGAAATTTATTTAATTAAATTATTAACGGAACTATTTTTGTCTAGGACATGGTAGAAGAAAAGTAACGTAAACAGTGAAAAAGTAACAAATTACTGATCTAGTGACTTACCTTTAATGACAGAGATCCAGCAAGAAAGAAGTGGTCCACGTCAATGACAGAGGCAAGAAAGCCAGCTAGGGTGACCTCAGTGAAGTCACTTTTCTTCCTGAGTCCAATCACTATCGCCCAGGACCACATCCCCAGTATGCCATGCACTGCATTATCAGATAAGGCTCTTAGCCAGTCATTCTGCTGAATGAAGGAAAACTGCAGGAGTCTGTCTGCTACAAAGCAGAATATCCCCAAACCTAGACTGGAAAGAACCGACGCTGTGCTGAAAGTCTGGAGAAGAGCGTGGGCCTTTTCAGTCTCGGATGCCATGACAAGAGCCATGTTGCAGCACACAAAATGTCATCAGGACACACACTGTGCATTGTCCTTCGTATTGACAGTTGTTCTGTAAATGTCAGAGATCAGAAAGGAAACTATTAAACAAAGAAAATCCATTAGCACAAAACATCTGTCACCACGGCTACAATTGGGCATTAAGACCCCAATTTCACTGTTTGCATTTAGCATTACCAGGGAATTTTTTATTTCAATTAGTTTATTGACTAGAACACTACAGTTTTGAATTAAAACACCTGCCTTTTTTTAGAACCAGCACAAGTAACACAGAGAGCTCTAATTCTACTTACTGAAACCTTAAATATTACAAAATAATCTGAAACATCTCTGTGATAATTCACTGAATGTGTTTCAAGATTCCTTCTTATCTTAAATACATTATTTAACCCAATTAAATACTTTACACTATAATAACCAAAGAAGATTCAGTTTGGAAGATTCTTATGACTGATGCACAAAATTCCAGCTTTCTCTATAAAACAACTGTTAAAACTGAGTTTTCAATGTATAATCCAAACCACTGCTTTAATTTACATTCTTAACATATGTAGTACTCCCCTGGTACCCTTTCCTGAGCAATGCCTTGTTTAATTTGGAGACTGGAACGTAGAATAAGCCTTAAGAAACCCAAACCCACTAAAATATATTCATTATTTATAATAAACACAAAACCAACAGCCATTTAGTCAAGCAAAGTAATCAAAATCATTTCCTTACAGAACAAAACTACCTAAGCTTTTCCTCAGCATGTGCTCCAGCAGAGAAGTTGGCTGTTACTTTTAGGATTTATCTACTGTCTGCCACCTTACCTTCATAACTCCTCTTTTTGCAAGGGAAGATCTAACTGTCCCAGCTGTTATGCAAGTCTTATTTGAGAAGCTATACAGACAGACCAGAGTTTTTAAGCCTACATCTTGCCTAAAAATGGATACTTCCCATCAGTTCACCATTTTTGCGCAATACATTTAATCTTGACAACCCTTTTTACTAGATAAATTCTTATTCTGAAGGGCCTTTTTGAGTGTATTAGACTTCCTAAGCTAATACATAACAATTTATGATTTTAAACATACTATAAATCTCAGAAGATATAGATGTTTGTTCCGGATTATTTACATGCCTGCCTGTTTTAGAATTCTCTGCAAGACAGAACTACTGGCACTCTCTGTAGGAAAAGAAAAAGCCCACTGAATCATTTATTTAGAAAACATTTAAAAAAGTAAAAGAGAAGAAAGCATGAATAATACATGGACTTTGCACAGAGATAAAAAAAGCGGGTCAAGTTTAGAGTTGGTTAACATGACAGTACTTCTTCTGAATGAATGACTCCTGAAACAATGGAAGTGCTGTTTTCTGGTGGGCAGCCTTATGGTACACAGGACATTGCTGAATAAATTCCATGTTAAGGAAAAAAATGGCAGTCTCTTCACAAATGTTTATTCTATATGGCCATTGTGTCAGATTGGATTTAATTTAAAATTACCATAAAGGCTGTGTAAGAATCCAATCTGTGAAGAGGTCATGTAGCAACATACCTTTAAAAAGCACACCAGTAATTAGAATCAAACTTCCCCTGGGACTAGGAGAACATTTTTTTTCCCATCACAGGTGCCTTACTCCAGTAGGAAATGTCTGTGGTCTATGCCTCAGCGTTGAGCCTCTGCGCTTTCTGAATCCAGTCTGCCCAGCCCAAACACCACTTGTTCCATCCTAAATTAAAACAAACCAGGCATTGGTAAGCACCGATGTTAGGCAAAACAGCATACATGAAATATGAACAACAGTAAAAAAATCCAGAAAGAATAGACGTATAGTTAATTAATTTGTAAACAAATATAATTGAGGTTAAAGCAACCTCAGCTAAACTTTGAAGCGCTGTAAAAGAAAGCAGAAAAAAACCATAAAAAACCACAAACCGAGAGAAGAGCAGAAATAAAAATGGAACACGATAGTAACTAAAAAATAATAAAACATGAAGTCCAAAACCAAGTCCAGTCTTCTACATAACTGCATTTCAACAGATAGAGCAATCCCTTTTCATAGATTTCTTCTTGTGCCTAGAAGATTCCCACCTAATGAAACGTTTATTAAGTCCCATTCAGGGATCTCTTTTTAAATTCCACCCCATCACTTAGTGACCCTGGAATAGACAAAGAGAGACCTAGAAATTCATATAGCAACAGAGGTCTGTGTCAGTTCTGTTAGGCTTACACTTGTGCTATGGGTGGTATTAGCATGTGTTCCTTGAGCCAGAATGAAGAACAGGATGCAAAACTGGCTTCAGGCTGACCATAGTCAAGAGCCATCTCCAACTGTTCTTTTTAAGCCGTCTGTTTCAGCCTCCTTTTAAGAAAAAGATGAGTGCCACCTATGTAAAAATCAACTCACATTCCCAGGTACAACAGTATTTCCCAGAATTTTTCTGCAGATCAAGAGAGACATCAGACCACAAAAAGCAAAACTCTGGAAAACCAAAATAATATCTGAAATTATAAATTTTAATGTAAAACTAGACCATTTCTTTCTCCCTGAAAAATGATGCCTTTCAGGCTCTTTACAAAATATCACAATAAAGTGTAGATTTTTCCAGCCTATAAATCTCAAAAGCAGTAGTGTAGCTTACATTCTTGCTAAAACAAAAAGTGGGGAATAATTCACACGGAAATGTTTATAGACCTCTGTGTGGTCACTACAGTTAACATCCTGAAGGGAAGTTCTAGGTTGGTTTTATGTAACAGCTGAGAGAGTAACCCAGCTTTGAGCTGTGGTTTCTCATAACATTTCTAAATGAGATAAAGCACTGAGCAGAATCTCTGTCTATAGTCTCAAAATGGAATTTTGTAGATATGCTTACTTTAATTTAAGGACATTACCAAAATAATTTTAATGAACACACAGTTAACACTTTAAATTACTGTCACAAGAAGTTATTTAGATCAAAATTGTATATACACTTTTGGGAAAAAAGCTAAGAGGCTATGGTGTACGAGCAAAACAAAAATCAAATGGCTAAAATTATCACTTAGAAATATTGCTCTGCATAATTTTTGCCCCAGTTTTGCATGATAGATGCTATTAGATACGTGAATACATATAGGAATTTAATGCATGAAGTTACAGAATCACAGAATCAATAAGATTGGGTAAGACATCTGAGATCATCTAGTCCAACCTACAACCAAACACCCCCCTGCCAACTAATAGAATGATGCATTCTACATAGGAAGTTAAAAGAATTGTAATCCCTTACAATTCTATAATCTCCTAAACCCCTCGTTATTTGATATTGGATGTTAATTTATGTTAAAAACTGCATGAAGCAGAATTACGACACCAGCTCAAACCTTTAGCATACAATCTCGTCGTAAAGGAGATCCCAGACTGACTGTGAAGAACTGACAGTGGCAATATTTTTGGGTCAGATAATTATAACACATTATTGGAGTGATCATGCAAATATTTTTGGGCCAGATAATTACAATGCATCATTGCAGCGATCCAGCAAATATTTTTGGGCCAGACATAATTATAACGCATTTTTGGGGTTGGAGAGGGCAAAATCCCAGAAGGAAGCGGTACGATTTTACCAAGACGCCGAAGAACAAACTAAATTAAACCGAGCAGGAAATTAACCTGTGAACCCGAGACCAGCGGGAGCGTGAGGGGAGGCGCGGGCCTCGGAGCCGCCGCCGCCCGCCCCACGCCGCCCGCCCCGGAGCCCACCTGAAGCGCGGCCACTGCCATCCGCCCTTCGCCTACGGGGCTCGGCCAGCCCGACGCCGGCCGGAGCGGGCGGGCAGCCCGGAGGCAGCGGGCTGGAGAGCGCCCCGGGCAGCCGGTCAGGAAGCATGCGTGGCCGCGGAGCAGGCTGGGACCCGGGCCCGCCTCCTCTCCGCCCAGCCCCGCCGGCAGCGGCGCTTGTTGTGAGGGAGAAGCGTTTCCTGGATTATTAAATGGAGAGTTTGGTGTTCGCGCGTTGGCTCCTTTAAATGCTGGGAGGGACATCGATGATGAGAGTTTAGTGTTTTGTCATTTAGGACATAGTGCGCCTCTGACAGACCACAGAGAAGAGTAGCGTCTTCTGTCCTCAAATTAGTACTTATTTACTCATAGAGAGCACTATAGAAAGCATTTGGGAAACATTTTATTCAGTATTAAGACTTCTTGGTGTGAACATCTGAACAAAAGCACGTTTTTACAGTGGAAACTTGCCATGTCCACCCTGGTCATTCCAGCAGCAATCCATCACTCAAGTTGATTCGAACATATATTCAAACATTAAAAGCAGCACTGTCAGGTCAGGGCTGATCTATTTATACAGCAGCGCTCCATTATCGCAACTGTTTTCTCTGCCTATACCAAATATAGCACTGGCGTTATTAGTGATATTATACTGGCACCTTACACACTTCGCCGGGAATACACCGGCAGCCTGTCTCTCTGGCCTCAGCCTTCATTCCTGTCTTCCCGCAGAGCCTCCTCAGACACAGCTGGGACAGCTCCTGTCAGGACAGGGAACACAGGGCCTCACCTCCCAGAAGCGGCAAGCAGCGATTCAATATCCTGAATGACTTTAGAAGTTTTTTCCAAAGCTTCCAAGACGCAATCTTCATTGAGTTCGGTCTCACGCCCGTTTTCTTTTTGTCTGACAGTGATACTAGATGGATTGGATTTTGTGGCAGATGACCTTTTCAGAATGTTGCTATTTTCTAATAAAACTAGTGTTACTTTGTTAAGAAAAAAATTCAGACTCTTCCTCCTAAAGAGAAAAATTAGACTCTGCATTTGTATTAATCATTCTGCCTTGCAAAGTCTCACATTTTGTAGCATGGTAATTACATACATAGGTAACAAAAGAAAAAGACGGTATTACTTAAAACTGTCTACAACATTTATAGAAAAATGTCTTTTAGACTTCAATTTATCCAAAAGTTACTTTGAAAAGAAAAAGGGTGTTACACTTCAGTTTAACAGCATGCACTTTTCATACTAATGGAATTGAACACTGGCTTAAAGACAGTTTTAGAGTGGCTTTAAGCAGATTCAGCACAGTGCACATTTCCAGCTGGCTGAACACAATAGAACAATACTAAGGTAGCTGATAAACAGAAAGATACTGTACTGCAAATACAAGCCCAAAAGCAACTGTGTTGATCCTCTTTCAAGAACAGATCAGCAGATGACTCTTAGCAAAACTGATGCAATACACATTGAAGAGTTTTGTTTTCTGGCAACTTTTCATTTTTGTTTTGTACTTCAACACTGTTTTAATTTTTTTTTAATCTTTACCACAAAATAAGTGATAAAACAAAAAAGATAAGTAAGAAAATTAGGTTTTTAAAGTGATACAGTAAAAGAAGGTAAGATCAGGATAGAGAGCCTTTGATGATCTAAAGTGCAGATTTGAACATGCAGAATATAAAAGTGAAAAAGATCTTTACAGCTTTTAAAAGGATACAATTAAATCTCTGTATTTTTTCAAGCTCAGCATCAGCAGACCTGTCCAAAAAAAGAAAGGTTATTTCTCAAGGGTATTTTCTACTTCAGATTTTATTTTTTGACAGTTTCCAGCAATACTGAGAATTAGATTAGCAAAATCTGTCTTTGATACCATAGTTCAATGGCTGACATTTGTAAATCATTTGTGTTTCCAAAAATTTGGTCTCTGCTCTAAGAATAGTCTCTTTGCTGTAAGTATGTATAAATAGAGATAGAATTTTCATTTCAGCAGCTATAAATATAACATAGCTGATGCTATAAAATTCATCAGCTGAATCTGCTATAATTTAAGTAACAAGTGCAATTGCAATTGATTTCAATTAGCACATTTTTAATATCCTAATGTTTGCAGATGATGTCAGTAGATTTTTGGTCAGTAGCATGTATTAGAAAGGAAAAATACATCAGCAAGAGATACAACTGTCATTAGGCAGTTCAAAGTACTGCTTTAGATGCTTGATGTTCTGTTAAAAAACATCTTTCTTGGTCTGATATCTTTACAGTGCAAGACACCATCTTTGTAACATTAAGTGACTTTGACAAAGTTACCATAATTCTGATTTTTAAGACAGGCAAAGCACAACGAAACAACCTTAACCTGAAACTCACTGAACATTTTAAACACTGGATGAAAAATATCAAACCATATACAAAATAAATAGACTTTAAAAATAAATTTTCATTTTTGCCCACTAGGAAATGCAAGATATAAAATTCAGATTATAATATTTTTGAGCTTTGATTTCAACGTTATTTATAGTCAATTATTTGGGATAAAGATGAATACCAATTTTCTTCAGTTATGGAGTGTACAGGATATTCAGCAATCTCCTTCCTTTCATTCAAACTTCTGCACCATTCTATTGCTGTTCTGATGTACCTGTGTTAATATGAAAATTCAAAAAAGTAGTTATTTATTTAAGAAATAAACTCCATTTTTGAGAGAAAAACTGAAGGCACTAAGGAATACACTTGTATCTGAAAGAAAAATCTATGATTCAAAATCTGTATTTTTCTCCTAGCTTGCCTTGCCATTTTTTCTCTAGAATCTTTTTCATATTTAGATCTATACAGTTATAGTAAATTATAACAAAGCTGTATGTTTTGCAATGAACAGTGTACAAATG